CTCCGCCGCCCCGCCAACCACAATCGTAATTGCCTCCCCAGCTCCCCTCTTCAAGATATTCGAGCACGACGTCTTGCTGACACTGCATATCCCCATCGCGAGAATCACATCGCGATAGAACGGCATTTTAAAATTGCTCGACAGTGTCAGCAGATGTGGTCGGATTCCGGGGAAGGCAGCGGAGAAGCCGGTCGCTGCAGGGCGGGTCAGATATCATATTCTTCATGCATGATGTCAAGATTACCTTCAGTGGCGAACGTCGCGATTGCACCCCTGAACAAAGTGAATAGCAGTGGAGCAAGAATTGCCTTGGCACGTACATCCCAATTATCCCTGCGCGCGCTAGGTTAGGTCGAACCGTGTAGGCGAAGAGTAGCATACCATGAGGATGATACCCAAACAGGTACGGTCTATCTGGCGGGAGGTCTGTCTCCTGCAGTATCATAAGCATCCTCTTTCGTCCGGTATAGCAGCAACGCACCTTGAGAAACCTATCCAAATCCATTTCAACTCTCCACAGAAAAAGCAGAAACGCACGAAGCAGGATAATAGTCCGCGAAATACGTCCAAAACTTCAACCTCCGAAACCAATCGCTCGTACGTCCGCCATGCTCTGGACTCTTGTCGATCCACAGCGCCCAAATCTGGTAGATGCACAGGAAGGGCCATAATGGGGGATATGAACTGCAACCCAATCATATGTCGCTGGAGAGATAGAGAGCCCAAGTAGACGCAACGAACCACAAGAACAAGAACACCGACACCCCAAGCAGAATGACCACAGACCAAACCGCCACAACAAGCATCTGCAACCGCCGCTTACGCGGGATGCGTGCGGGGACGAAACTGAAGAAGCCAAAAGGATATTGAGCACTTTTGCCCTTGACGACTAGTGCCTAACTGACTTGATGTTCGCCTGCAGCGCATTGGCAACAGGGACCAGCGGTGTCGCGGTGAGCTTCAGGCGTTCCTTGAGGGAGGTTGCAGAGAGTGTCCGAGAGGCATTCGAGAGCCGTCTCAGTGACATGTGGTGACGGGTAGAGACAGACGCGTTGACGCGTGCTTGTGATTTCGTGAAATGAAAGAGTCTAACATTCATGTGCACTATGTATTGTATTTCGAGACCATTTTAAGCATACAAATCGTCGTCCCCAGTGTCATCCGTGAAGCCAGCATTGCCCGAACTCGTCGCCGGCGCAGCGGTGCTCCCGCCCTCGCCCTCGGGGAACTTGAAGTTGTTCCCAAACCCACGCGATTGTTGCAGGTTCTGCGCAAACATCTCGTAACGACGGATGTCCTGGTCAGACACTGAACGCCGAGCAAACTTCATCGCCTCCTCAAAGTGCTCCCTCGTGATCTCAGGGACTGGGTCTTCCTCCTCCTCGGCATCCTCGTCCACCTTGATGTCGTCCTCGCCGGCAGCCTCGTCCTTCTCCCGCTTCTCGCGCGTCCGACGAATGTCAGCATCAATACTCTCCCGGATCGCCAACTTGGCAGCGCGTTGACAAATCTCCGTAAGATCAGCACCAGAGAACCCATGCGTGCTCTTGGACAGGAAGCCAAGGTCGACCGAAGGCGACACGGGCGACTTTTTGAGGCACGCCTTGAGAATCGACAACCGTGATGGCTCGTCCGGCAGGGGAATGTAGATGAGCTGGTCAAGACGACCGGGACGCAGCAGGGCCGAGTCGATCTGGTCAGGCCTGTTGGTAGCACCGATGATGAAGACGTTCTTCTTGGCGTTCATACCGTCCATCTCCGTGAGGATCTGGTTGAGCACACGGTCACCCGCTCCTCCACCGTCACCGCTTCCACCGCCACGCGCTTTGGCAATCGAGTCCAGTTCGTCAAAGAACATGACGCAAGGCGCCGCTGCCCGCGCCTTGTCGAAGACGTCACGAACGTTGGCCTCCGACTCACCGAACCACATCGTGAGCAGTTCGGGGCCCTTGATGGAGATGAAGTTGGCATTGCACTCGTTGGCAATGGCCTTGGCGAGCATGGTCTTACCCGTACCAGGAGGTCCGTAGAAGAGAACACCTTTCGAGGGCGACATGCCGTACTTGAGGAACTTGTCGGGGTGCTCCACGGGGTACTGCACGGTCTCCTGCAGCTCCTGCTTGACCTTCTCGAGACCACCGACATCGTCCCACTTGACGGTCGGAACCTCGACGACCGTCTCACGGAGAGCAGAGGGGTTGGACGTGCCGAGGGCGAAGCGGAAGTTGTCCATGGTCACGCCAAGCGAGTCGAGTACCTCTGCGTCAATGGTGTCCTCGTCGAGGTCGATGAGGTCCATCTTCTCGCGGATCTGCTGCATGGCAGCCTCGGAGCACAGAGAAGCCACATCTGAACCGACGTAACCGTGAGTGTCGGCGGCAATCTGCTCCAGGTCGACGTCCTCGCCGAGCTTCATGTTCTTCGTGTGGATACGGAGAATCTCGAGACGGCCGGTCGGGTCGGGAATACCAATGTCGACTTCACGGTCGAAACGGCCGAATCGCCGCAGAGCGGGGTCGATGGAGTTGGGTCGGTTGGTGGCGGCCATGACGACGACGTTGGAGCGCGCCTTCAGGCCGTCCATGAGGGTGAGGAGCTGGGACACGACACGCCGTTCGACTTCACCGTTGGTCTAAAGGACAATGAGAGATTATTCTGAACAATCAACAAATCTACCGCACCTTTTCACGCTTAGGCGCGATCGAGTCGATTTCGTCAATAAAGATGATGGCGGGTGAGTTCTTCTCGGCCTCCTCGAACGCCTTGCGCAGATTGCTCTCACTCTCTCCGGCCATCTTGCTCATGATCTCGGGGCCGTTGATGAGGAAGAAGAAGGCGCCGGTCTCGTTCGCCACGGCACGCGCCATGAGAGTTTTACCCGTACCGGGAGGACCGAACATGAGGATACCACGAGGAGGCTTGATACCGATGGACTTGAACAGTTGGGGGTGACGGAGAGGGAGCTCGACCAATTCACGGATTTGAGCCATCTGCTTGCGGCAGCCACCAATGTCATCGTAGCCGACATCGGAGAGGTTGGACTCCTCGTCCTCGCGCTTGACCGGGTCGCCCTCTATTTTAATCGTGTCAGAAAAAGCCTCTGCGATAAAAGAAAAGTACTTGCCGGTGTGGATGACGGTGTCCTGCGCGACAATGCAGAATTCAGACGGGTCGGTTTCGATGACCTTGAATTCGACTGTCCGCATGCCTCCGCGCACAAGGAAGGTGTCGCCCTTGCGGACGGGACGGTAAGCTGAGATAAAGTCAGAAAAGTGCCAAAACAGAGCGGGATGGACATGCCTTCAAGGAAATATGGCTTGAGGTAGACATCAAAAATGTTACCACTCAGACCCTCGATGGAGTCGTCGAATGGCAGGATATGTACACGTTTGCCGTACTTGATGTCGAGACACGCGTGCACGCCGACGAGGTCACCGAGCTTGACACGCAGGTTATTGCGGGCCACTTTGTTGACCTGGATGCGACCCTCCTCGACCTCATCTGCAGACAGACAGATCAGGACGGTATCGCGCCGCTTCTTCCCGCTGAACAGGACTGTTAGGACACGTTAAAGGAAAGTAGATGAGGACAGGTACCGGACGATGATTGTGTCCCCACGGAAGAGACCCAGGAGTTCCATGGTCGCTGGATTCAGGGTGGCAACTAAGAGAAAGTGAGCTGAATTCACGACAAGATGCTTGTAGCCGTACCAGAGTTGTCATCCGTGGCCGCTTCGTCGACCAAGAGACGATTTGGGCTGGAAATGCGTCAACATCTTGCGAGCAAGAAAGAGAGCAGCACGTACGATTTCTTTGGGCGGAGAATGGCGGTGGAGACATCGTTGGGGCCGGGTTGGGGAGGGGCGCCGCTGGGGTCTGCCATTGTAGTTTGTAACAAGAGAGAATGGATTGAGAGAGCTGACGCGTCGCGCAAATAGTACCCGCAAAACACTGATCCGGCAATCCACTTGTTCTAGTGACTTCCACCGCTGTCTTATTACAAACTACACGCGCGTACTTTTTTACATTTCCTCGTCGAGATCCAGCACAGGATAATCTCCCACTTTCACCTTGTCCGGCCGCACAAAAACCCCATAATTCGGCGCGCACGAAAAATACCGCTCACCCTTGACCCTGTGCGACGCGTCAGAGTCAGTAGTCGCGATACATCTCAGCACTCACGAGCCATCGTTCTTGCCCATCGGTTCATCGTATTCGACGCCGACCCACACCCCGTCTCCCGCCCCGAAAGTTGTCTTGCCAACAAAGCGCACCGTACCTCGCTTGCTCAGTCCCGGCTCAGCTGACTCGATCTCGCAACGCGAACCCAGGGGGATGTTGACGTCGGGAGTGGGCTTGGCAGTCGTCTCGTCCTTGGGCGCGAACCGCCCGACTTTATTTCGCTGCTTGTAGGCCAATACCGTATCTAAACGCGTAATCAGCACGCGTTCATCGCACTAAAGTCTGACCTTACCCGTGCGCTGCGCGTACTCGGTGTCCGTAAGCTCGAATTTATCCACTTGAGTTACATCCGTCAGCTGCCCCGTCAACGACACCGACGGGTTCGTATCGTCCACCTACAAAAAATAAGCAGCCATAATAAAGGTGATGCTCGCCATACCTTGAGAACATTCCAATCGCGTAGCCCATAGTACCCCACCGGCCTCGCGTCCTCCGTCAGCGTCGCCACAACTGTCGGATCGTCCACAGATGTCAGAATCGAAATCGCCTGGTTTGCAACAGGAATCCCAGTGATGAGCTCGAGTTTGTTCTAGATGCGCCGCTCAGTGCGGGTCCCACTGGCAGGTACTTATGCGACCTTAAGCTGTTCGACGGTGATGTGAGGGTCGATTCGTCTTTCAGAGTGCGTGTCCAAAGAGGAGACAAAAACGTTGAGGGTGCTCGACATGGTTGTGGTGGAAATGAGAAAGTCAAGCTGAGGCTTGATGAGCAGACTGATTCAGAGTGTGAGGTGTAGCTTGTATGGCTACCCACATCGATTCTTGACTAGCATATCGGTTCAGTACACCCGCTTGTCATAACCAGGTAGGGACAAAGTTACGCGGGAGAGCAGGGTTCGACTCCCTGGTCGAGAGTTCCTTTTTGCATCGCTGATCTTTCCTCGTTTCTCCGCTTTACCCTCCTGTATAGGCCATCTTGCTTACTGGAACCGGAGTCGTCTCCAGAAACTTGCCAGAAACCCCGCTCATATATTCGGTCCTTGCTGTACGTTTTGCACGCAATAGTCGCTCAACTTCAGCAAAGGTCTCTCGAGTTTCTGGGAATCTGGTCGATATGGATCCAATTTGTGTATCTGGACCGACATAGAAGTATGAAGGTAAATTGACTGCAATTTTCCATCTATTGTTCATGAAGCTTCAAATGGACGACGAGAGAAAGAGGTATAAAGCACAGATGCTCTCGGCGGGCCATTCCCAATCTTTCCCCTCTTCAGGAAATGCGCATTACGATCACAGCCCTCTTGACCATCGTTTCCCTCTCTTCTGCCGTTCTCGCGCAGGGGTCAGAGGACGCCCGTTCTTCTCACAAGGCAAGTATCACTCGCAAGCTAAAGGATAGCATTCCATACTCAAGCCGTGGACAGCACAAACACCATCACCCGTCCCGACCGCCCCCGCGGTGCCCACCCTGCGAGCCACCCAGATGCGTGAGAGGGAGGGAGTGTATCGCCCGACGCATCATTTGTTTCGAGGAGGAAAGTGGTGACGCCATCGACATCGAGTGTCCTCTTCTACCCCCGACCCGGCGAGGGGAGGATCTGGATTGAACCTCAACCGGAACCATTCTGTGTGCTGTGTACATCGTTTTTATGATTTAATTGTTTGTGCTTCAAGTACAAGAACGCACATGTGAATTTTTGTGTCCCAAATGCGTCGGATCCCAGACCTCACAACGCCGATGCACAAGGGAGAATCATAAAACCAACTGTCAAGACGCAGACCGGCGCTGCCACCCGATCCCACCCACAGGCTCAGTCCATTCTTTCTGAGCGCATCCAGGCCGGCTGCTGTTACGGGATCAGAGTCTGGATTGTCATTTCTCGACAGAAAGGCGGCTGCAGTGAGGGCACAGCAGTGAGCACGACGGGACTCGAGCATTTTGGGAAACAGAGGGTAGTCAATGGGGAACGACCCGGCTACGGATAATCCAAAGCAAATCTCGTTCAGCTTCGAAGCTACTGGCGGGTCGCTATAGGTGAACCTGTTGAGATGAGCACCGACAGCAGCACTCAAAACGTCCGCATCGATTGTGGGGTGCCCGATATTGTTGAATATAAGAATAACACTGCGTATGGAGGAGTACTTCTTGAGAACAGCTGCAGTGATATCGACATGGAGCAAACCGATAAGGGTAAGTCGGTGTGGCGCACAGGAAGCGCGAAGAAGGATGGCGTCCAGATCATCCTCTGGGTCCAACCCATCTGCGCGTATCAGGGCAATTTCAGATAAGGCCGGGGCGCGGAAGTATGGTAAAACCCCCGTATGATTGACGAGGAGGCAGCGAAGATTCGGCATCTCGATAATGTCCGATGTATCCGGCCATGGCTTTTCATCATCGAACTGGACCACAATCTTCGCTTCAAGAAGGTTTGGAGCCAGTTTAAGGACACGATGGTGGAACTCCCATGGCCCACATGGACACGGTATGCAGTGAAATGATGGGCTGGGAATAGGATGGGTATAAATCGCGACTCGGTGCGGAATCCGACATCCAGTAGGGACGACGCCGTCTGAAAGCAGTTGACGGAATGAACTTCTGCTTCAGTTTGGTCTGTATCCCACTGGAGCCACAACCTCTGGAGTGATGGAAGGCGACCACGCAGGGCGGTCATCTGGGGGACCAGCGCTGCAGTCATCTGGAGGTCGAGATCCACCACCCATCGAGCAGAGTGTTCAGAAAGAAATTCGAAGATTTTGACCTGAGCGGCTTTCTCTGTGGACTCGTGGGCAGAGAAGGAGACGCGGAGATTCCGGGCGCGATCTACTTGTTCTTGAATCATGGGCAATGGCAGCGGCGACATAGCCCAGTCAGACCAGGTAATCGTAGACCATAACGAAGGGATTGAGATGGCAGTCCTTCTCCAAAGGCTGCTCACATAAGTCAGGACCCGGATACACCTCCCTCCATCTCTTCAATCGCTGGTAATGTCCATGAAAATATCTCCGCGAGGATCTCGGGTGGCACTCGTCTGAGTGGTGAGACGATGCCAGCGTAGCGAGTATGGTATTCCGCCAGTTTTTCCCGCTCAGCTTCGAGGTGTTGAAGCTGATCTTTGAGCTGGGATATTTCGATGTCGACTCGGAAACGCGTCAAACGCGCGGCGATTTTCGACAAGAAGGGTCGCACGAAGTCCAATTCGGCGGCATTTGGCGGGTCATTCGATTTGGCAAGTTCATGGCACCGTTCCGGAGCCCAAGGACTCGCGGTTGTGATGGGGTTGGGTTCGTCTTTGGCAGCGATTGGGGCACCGCATTGGGGGAAGCAAAACGCGTCGGACATGGATCGTATCTTGGAACCAATGAGCACACACATGTTTGGCATGTATGGTCTTGATATATATACCTGAGTTGGGCAGGGTTACTTGAAATTGACTTGAAAGTCGAAAGCAGGGTAGTTGGGCGGCCGGGACAGCCGCTGATGCGGTGCCACGGCCATCATATTGCGCCCACAACTTTCCGCCTCTCGAGTTACTCAGAGTACGGTTTGCAAAACAGTGCAGCATTTCATTATTATTAAGCCTTCACATGCCCGTACACAAGGGGGAACTGTAGTACCAACTGTCAATGTGCAACTCGGCAACGGTCCCTGACTTCAGCAAAAGTCTGAGTCCACTCTGTCTGAGCGCATCCAGCCCGGCAGCTGTCACAGGATCTGGGTCTGGACCACTCTTCGCAAGAAAAGCAGCGGTATCAAGAGAGAACGGGGGGCGATGGAGTGTCTGCAACATTTTGAGAAACAGGGGGTAGTCGATGGGGAACGACTGGTCCTCGGACGATCCGATACAAATCTCGTTCAGGCTGGAGGATATTGGCGGGTCGCTATAAGCGAACATCTCTAGATGAGCACCAACAGCGCCACTCAAAACGTCCGCGTCGAAGGCTCTTGTGCGATGCGACATTGTTGAATACAAGGATAACGCTGCGGATGAATGAGTATTTCTTGAGAATAGCTGCGGTGACAGCGACATCGAGCAGCCCAATAAGGGTAAATCGGCGTGGGGCACAGCAAGAACGAACGACGAATGCGTCCAGATCCTCGTCTGGGTCCATCCCATCTCTGAGTATCAGGGCGAGTCCAGACAAGGCCGGAGCGCGAAGATATGTCAACACCATTTTATCATTCACGAAGAGTTGTCGAAGATGTGGCATGTCGACAACGTCATGGTCTGGCCACGGCTCTCCATCGAAGTCGACCGTAATCGTTGCTTCAACGAGGTTTGCAGCCATTTTAAGGACACGATGGTGGAACTGCCATGGACCTTTGACACGGTATGCAGTGAGTTGATGAGCGGGGAATGCGACGGGTACAAATCGTGACTTGGTGTGGAACCCGACATCCACCAGGGAAGACGTCGTCTGGAAACACTCGATAGAATCTACTCCATCCTCGCTTTGTTCCGTGTCCCACTGGATCCATAACCTCTGGAGTGAGGAAATGCGGCCACGTAGAGCGGCCAAACGAGGGACCAGCGCTGCAGTCATCTGGAGGTCGAGGTCCACCCATCGGGAAGAGTGTTCAGACAGAAATTCGAACATCTCGACTTGAGCGGCTGCATTCCCGGACTCGTACGCAGAGAAACCAATGCGAAGATTCCGGGCGCGATCTACTTGTGCTTGGATCATGGCTAATGGCGGCGACGTGCATGCGTCATAGTCGGACCAGCCAATCACTGCCCACAGTGAAGGGATTGCGATGGCAATCCCTCTCCAAAGACTGCTCACTTGAGTCAGGACCCATGGGCTTTGTTTGAGGTCGGATACATCCCACTTCACTTCGTCAATCGCCGGCAATGTCCAGTCAAATATTTCAGCAAGGATCTCGGTTGGCACTCGCCTGAGTGCTGAGACGATGCCAGCGTGCCGAGTATGGTACTTCGCCAGTGTTTCCCGCTCAGCCTCGAGGTGTTGTAGCTGAGCTTTGAGCTGGGTTATCTCGTTGTCGAAACGCGTCAAACGCGTAGCGATGTTCGACAAGAAAGGTCGAATGACGTCCAATTCGGCGGCATTTGGAGGCTCGTTGGAGTTGGTGAGTTCACGGCACCGTTCTGGAGCCCAAGGACTCGCGGCTGTGATGGGGTCGGGTTCGTCTTTTGCAGCGATTGGGGTACCGCATTCGGGGCAGCAAACCGCGGTCATGGATCTTGGAGCCAATGATTCTGAGAAAACATACGTGCAACCATGACCGTAAGCTATACCTGAAGAGAATCCTTGAAATGGCAGGAGTGAGATAGCCGTTGGCTAGTTGGAAGTTCAAGAGCAAGAAAGTTGAAAGCCATCAATGCATCGTGATCGGCATGGCTCGGCGCTTTTGCCGCGTTCCGGAAACGTTTAGTAGTTGGTATTTCAATCATTACAGGTCAATATGTACTATACGGCGCGTTAGGTACTGTGAATACACTATTCATTCTACATTTGCAGTCAGCCTCCATACAAGAAAGACTCAGAAAAGACGCACATACCTCTTCAAACTCGGAATCATCAACGTTATTGCCATTCAATATCTTGCCAAGATGCGTGAGGCTGTAGCCCTGGCCCTTCCTCCGCCACCCAAACAAGCTCCGGAGGAACGGCAACGGGTTGGACACGAAATCGCAGGCGCCAACTCCGAGAGTGGTGCGGACATCCTTGTCCCGAACGAAACCTGTCGCGTCGACGGCATCTCCTTGAATCTGGCGCGGCAGACGATCGAGGTACAAGCCGAGCAGGGCAAGCACGTCTCTCTTCGAGTCCTTGTCCGCCAGGAAAAGTTGCCCCGCGAAAAGGTTGAGCTCGTGGATGCTCTTGCGCATCGGAGGCGTCGGCCGAGGTGTCGGAATGACGAATTTGTCCAGTGCTTCCCAGGAAGGTGCACTCTG